TCAAACTGTGCACCTTTGGAATTATTTTTATTTAGTTCTTTTTAGATGCTGCTTTTTATTTAGTTGTTTTTAAAGGATTTTAATTAGGTTTTTTTAATGCTCTGGTGAAAAAGCCACACAGTCATTGGAGATCAAGTCATTGGAGAATGTTTCCTCTTTCTGTTATGCAGTCTCCAGCTCACTTTTTGCCAGCTCCAACATTGGCCTTTGCAATTCTCCATTGTCTTCTTATTCTCCTGGTTTGATGTATTTCTCTTCTCATAAGGCCATGACCTGCAAGTATGTGTTTGGGTTCATCTTCCTTTACATAATCATGCCACAGCCTGTAGTCTTGCCACCATCAAAGTACATTCTGCATCCAAAACCGAAGATGACATCTGGTATGGTCTTGTAAATTTTTTCTGTCTTAGGAACAGTTGCCTTCTCAGAATGAAGACCGTCAATAACCATTTGTTTCCACTGCTGTAATCTGTTGGTCATGAACTCCTGGTCTGGAAAGTCACTGTGGTGTTCATGATGGTGGCTATCACACATACAGAGAGGAAAAGTTCTTGGTGCTGTTTGCTTTTACAAAGGAGCTACATTAGTATTTTCCCAACCTGAAAGAAAGTCCAAGATTTTCTGGGAGCAAAAAGGCAAAGCTAGCAGTCAGTGAGCAAGTTAGAGAGACAGCATGTGACTCCAAATCCTTCCTCAGGAATTACATCGAGCGTTAAGGCGTCACGGCTTCAGCTGTGCCTGTGAACACTGCATGTTAGGGGGACTGTTGGCTGTTGGTGTCATCTGGTATTGTTTGGTAGGTTATATTTTGGGACCTAAGAAATATTTGGGTATGTAAACAAGGGTAACTCCTATTTGCTTTCCATTATCTCCTGTGGTGTCTTAGTCACTCTTTTATCTTTGACTTTAATCATCCTGGGAAGAAATGATAACTTCCTCATGTGTTTAGCTCTGAATCAAGAGTTCTTAAAGATGAAGTGTGAATAAAAATGAATAAAACCTTTTATGTCAGGAAAATTTATTTAATAACAGTTTATTAATAATTCTTGAGTCGGCCTCTTACCTTGTTTCCCCTCGCAGAAGACGACAAGCCAACCTTCTTAAGGGAAAGCAGCTTCTCCGCGAAGGGAAAATCTCAGAAGCACGAGACTGTTTCACTCGCTCAGTTAACATCACGCATGCAATGGCCCACAGAGTCATCAAAGTAAGCTGAGTGGGAAATGAAGCCAGAGAGACAAGTGACTAAGTTGGCTTATGCTAGTTGTAAGCTGTTCATTAGTAGGAGAGCAAGAAATTCAGGGTGAAGAAAATTGTGTAGTCTTAACATCAAAGACAGAATAAGTGTCTGAGAAGGGAACATTCTCTTTAGAAAGAATAGAGGTCTCCAGCAACTTCAGGTGGAGAGCCTAAGGAAGAGTGAGGCTCTTCTGAGAGAAATAATTTGGGTAGGTACATTTTATCATGTGTATTATTTGAAGAACAGAAGGGGTAGAGTGCTAGAATTCCCTCTCATTTCACAGCCTCCACTCACCTGGCCTTCAGTGCTCCTGGTAGGGTATATTTTCAAACTTGTTATTAAAGGGGTGATGATATACATGGAATCAGCATTTCTGGCTTTATTTCACTGCTCTCCAGTTCTAGAGCTAACAATCACCAGCATTCTTTCTTAGCTTTTTGTCACATAGATGTATTTTTGCTCTTTCTGTGTGAATGAGGTACAGGGGAAGGTGTGAAGAATAAGAGAATAAGTAGCCAGGACCCTGATGTGGAACAAAGTTTAGAGCTTCCATTCCACCTGCCTAGCTTTTGAGATAAGGGGTATGGTGAGGACTGTTTTTGAAACTTAATCTTCCTATAGCGAGTTGGTTTTAAAATAGTGATTAGCTTTTATATAGTTTTATTAATTCAGCATTATATTTCATCTGTGTCAGATAATCTAGTGAAAACCTGACAGAGAAACCCAAATTTTTATGAGAAAAGGACATTGTCCAAATAACTGTATCCTTTGACTTTTCTTAAAGTGGACCTTATCTGTAATTTGAAATAACTTAAGTTTTATAGTTGATAGTTTTAGGTTTTCCTCATGAATGTGTAGCAGGATTTCTTTTAAGTTTGTAAATGGATTTTTTTTTTTAAATTGCTCGGTGGTGAGGTGATTTAGTTAGTGCTAGGACATTTTAAAGTGGAAAAACATCAAAGGAAATGGCCTGGGGGAGGGGGAGTCACGTAATGTGTTGTGACTTACATAAAATGAATTAGAGACAAGAAGTTCTGCTAACTGGAAGTGAATTGTGACCCTTTGCAGGCCGCCCGGTCCCTGAGGGTAGACTGTCTTGTAGCCCCTTATGAAGCTGATGCCCAGTTGGCCTATCTCAACAAAGCTGGCATCGTGCAAGCCATAATCACAGAGGATTCGGATCTCCTAGCCTTTGGCTGTAAGAAGGTATTTGGCTGAAACTACTCCAGTTACTTTTCTATATAGATGGAAATAATGTCATTTAGGGGGCTAAAGCTTTTCCTCTGTGGGAGTAATTATGCTATTTATTTTGTTTCATGTAGTTGCAGTTAGTTCCACTTTTACAAGGTTAAGAACTCCTGGTGGCATGGTGCTTGCCATGTTCTGCTGGGATGCTAACCAAAAGGCAGAAGCTCTGAGGGAGAAATGTGAAGTCATCTGCTCCTGTAGAGATGTGCAGCCTCAGAAACCCGGTAGGGGGCAGCTAGGACTCAGAATCTACTTTGGCCGCAGTGGTTTGGTTTTACAGTGTTAATGATTGTTTGAAGTAGAAAAATTTTACTGCTTGACAAATGTATCATCATTTTCAGAGTTAAAGTTGAAGAATTTTGTTGTTACTTCCTCCAAAACTTATAGAATGTAGAGTTACTACTCTGACTTTTTCTTAAAGATAACTTAAACACTTTTCTATAATTGAGATACTTTCTCCCCTATTAGGATGCTATGCCATTGTTTAGAATTATGCAACTATGGAAGATGACAAATTAAGAAAATTAATATTTGACACCGTAGCACGATCTTAATTTTATCATCATTGACATGTTCATAGATGACTAGTGAGCATTGTCACAAGGTGAATGCTGAGGAACAACGGCACGCACAGTATTAGGGATATTAGGGACAGCTTGTGTTTGCTTCCTGAATTTCTGTTTTTCAAATTGTCTACAATAAATATGTATTACCTTAATTATAAGAAAAAAGGGTTGCTTTTATTGAAGAATTTTGTTGGAAGGAACTTTGTAGAAGGAATGATTACATTTCATGAAACGAGGCATTCTATGTAAGAGAAGCAGCCAGTTTGGCTTGGTAAGTCCGAGAGGAGGCCAGGGGGAGGGAGGAAGGTTTACTAGCTGAGACAGCCATTAGAGAACTCCGGTGGTACAGTCCATACGGAGTTGCACTGCTAGCCCAAAGGGCACGACTGGTGACTGTGGTGATTGGAATCTACCAACTGCGCCACTAGAGAAAGATGGGTAATCTGTGCTGTTTACAGCCTCAGAAAACATGCTGGAGGATCAGCTATGAGTTCTGACTCCACAGAAATGACAATTTTTTGTTTGTTTTGGTTTTTTTTTTATTAGTTTTAAGGAACATTTACAGAGATTTTGGGTTTTCATTAGAAATGACAATTTTTAGTTTAACATTCTTAGTCACACATGATTTTTTCCCCTTGATACTTATTTGGCTGTGCTCAGGTCGTTCATTCATAGGGTCACTATGAGTCTTCTACGACTCGACGGCACCAAACAACAACAACTTATTTGGCTATGGCTATCTTTCTAAATTATGTAGGACATGTTTTGTTGAGAAAGTCTTGTGAATTGAATGTGGATCAGGTAATTTCTAATTGAAGTCCTTTAAAAGTAAAATTGAATCATTTAGTTGAGATGGTGCAGTTTAGTCTCATCTGTATCCTTCCAGATAAATCCTGGCCCAGGGAAAGTTTTTGTACCTCTGGGAAGCTTAGACAGATTTGCTTGGTGACTAAAGATAGCCAGATTAATGCAAACATGGATGGGTTAGAAATTCCAGTTCTTTGATATCCAAACAGCAAAATCTTGACAAAGAGGCAGACTGGCTTTTTTTAGAAAGTTGGGTACCCATTGCTATAAAGTCAGAAACAACCCAGAGCTGACCCTCCAGCAAGTTTTAAGATTTTCACTGAGGTTTGAAGTCACCCTATTCTGTAATGCTGTCACTGTTGTTAGGTGTCTTTGAGTCAAGTCAGCTACAATTCATTAGCCACTCCAGTACGCAGCAGATTGAGACACTGCCAGGCCCTGTGTCATCCCCTCAGTCCCGCATGGTGCAGCCATGCCTGAACCCCTCGCTGCAGCCCATTGTCATTCCAGCTTGTTGAGGGTCATGTTAGCAGCTTGGCTATCCTAACATTCCCAACCACTGCAGGAAGAAGAGGTTCAGAAAGGGGATTCTTTGTACCAGAGGGAAGAGATTCAATTTTCAGGCTTAGTTTCTGAGTACCTGTAGAGCTTTGTCAAGTCATAGCTTGTATACTTCAGTTAGCTCAGTGTTAATGATTTCTTAGAATTGTTTTTTTAAAAACAATAAGTTAGGTAAAGAAATAGAATAAATGGCCTTTTTAGTATTGACAGTTTTCCTCCTTTTGAAGGTTATTTTGAAAATGGACCATCTGGGAAATGGACTGGAGATTGATCAGTGTCGGTTTGGAATGTGCAGACAGCTTGGAGATGTGTTCACAGAGGAGAAGTTCCGTTACATGTGCATACTGTCGGGCTGTGACTATCTCTCATCACTTCGTGGTATTGGATTAGCAAAGGCATGCAAACTACTAAGATTGGCTAATAATCCAGATATCATAAAGGTAAGAGTGCTTTGCAAAATTTTCTGTTCATTCTGAAGCATATCTTAAATAGCGGAATAATATTGCAATATGGATTTTAAATATCCTGTTAATATTATTAATTGTACTAGGGCATTAAAGAGGAGGGTAACAGTACAAATTTGCTTTTGGCAGCTGACAAATATTGGAAGAATAACATTTTCAGCAACTGACAAAAGTAGTAGTTATTGCAAAACTGAGGACTAATAAAGATTTAAAGGTAAAATATCCTGGGAAGATAAGTTTATTTTCCAAAATAAAATTTTAGAAAAGAAACATTTTACTTTTTGCAGATATTGTTAATATGGCGTAATGGAAAGCACCTAGATTCACATATCTACTTAATTGCATCCATGAAAAACCTATATGTAGACCAGGAGGCTGTTGTCTGAACAGATCAAGGGAATACTGCATGGTTTAAAATAAAAAAAGAAAGTGTACATCAGGGCTCAATCCTCTATACATAGATACTCAGTCTGTATGCTCAGCAAATCAGTCAAGAAGTTGGACTCTGAAGAAGATGACATCAGAATCTGAGGAAGGCTCATCAACAACCTGTGTTATGCAGATGACATAACTTGCCTAAAGCAAGGAAGACTTGAGGCCATTATCGCAGAAGATCAAAGACTATAGCCTTCAGTATGGGTTAAAACAGAAAGAAAACGAAAATCCTCACCACTAGACCAAAAGGCAATGGCATGATAAATGGGAAGAAGATTGAGGTAGTTAATGATTTTGTGTTGCTGGGATTCACAATCAATACCCTTGGCAACAGCAGTCAGGAAATCAGAAAACGTGTGTGATGGGGAGTCTGCGGTCAAGGACCTCTCCAAGGTTTGAAGAGCTGTGGTGTCAGTCTGAAGAATAAGGTGTGCCTGAATCAAGCCTTGTCTTTTCAGTTGCTTCCTATGTATTTGAAAGCTGGACATTGACTAAGGATAACAGTAGAGGAATTAATGCCTTTGAGTTGTGGTCTTGGAGGAGAGTACTAATTATCCCATGGACTGCCAAAAGAACAGACAAATATGTCTTAGGAAAAGTGAAGCAAAGATACTCTATAGAAAAGGATGATGAAACTGCCTCACATACTTTGGGCATGTTGCTAAGAGAGGCCAATCCCTGGAGAAGGACATCATGCTTGGAAGCAAAAGAGAGACTCATGTTGAGCAGTCCTCAACAAGTTCGATTGATACAGTGGCTGGAGAAGTGGGCCTCAAATATTAACAAGGATGGTGCAGGATATTTCTGGTCCTCTGCTTATATGAGTCATGGTTACTCAAAGGCACCCAGTGACGATGACAACAGCCACCTTCCCCAAAGAATGAAACTCTCCACATAGGTGTTTGCTGAGAGAATCAGGAAAACAATCCAGAAAACATCAGGTTTATTTGAGCAGGTGAAACTTACAGAACAGGATAGCTGTGCTCCTTCCATTAGTGACAAGATATATAGAAGACCATACCCCCAGTGGGCCTGGGGCACATTAATACAGAGCAGTAAACAGGTTGTGTATGGGCTGACTAGTTCTTTGTACGTGTTGTGCAAGATGGTCCTTACACTGACAAGAAAGACTGGGTGGTCATAAGGTGCCCCAAAATAGATGCTAGAGATTGGGTGTTTAGCAACAGACTCTTGTGCACCCATGGCCTAGGTAGAAACTTTGTGAAAAAGATTAAGTGTACTTAATCTTTTAGTGACATTTGCTGAGAGCCTCACGGCATTCTATCTACTAGTTACTTGTAGCCTCTGGACCATGCCTCAGTGAACTCACTCCTAAAACACCATCCATCACTGAACTGTATTTCACTTTAAAATATAGACATCAAAGGAACAAATTTTTCCTACCTCAGTAATTCTCTAAATGCCTTTATGGCTTTCAGAGCAGAAGTTCCATTCTGTAGTTCTGAGACTACAGAGCATGAATGCTCAGGAATGTTTAAAAAAAAAACACCAACCAACCAACCAAGACACCCCACAAAACCAAAACATACACAAACGAAAGAAAAAAACTACCATGGAGTCAGTTCTGACTGAGCAAGCCTGGAGGACAGAGTAGAAAAACTACCTCAGATTTGAGTACTAGTCTTTACAGAAGCACCTCTTTCTCCCTAGGAGGTCTGAGAGATGAGTGTTTCCTTAAGAAAATGAGAAAATCTGTGAGACAGTGAAATGCCCAGTCTGTTGAAATGGAAAGGGAATAGTGTTTATTGAGGAGCAAATTTGCAAATTGGGAATCCCAATGGCCAGAGGATTTGGAAGGAAACTGATGCAAGGAAGAGGCAATTCAGAGTTTATATAAGAAAATTCTGTAAAGATTCATTGACTGGGCAACATGTAATTGGTAAATTACACATTTAAGTTACACAGTAATCATTAAGTTGAGTCCTTCTGTCCTCAAACAAGCATGAGACCCATCTTGCCTGACTGCAGGAAAATTATGCACAATTCTAAAGTTCATTTAACATAATAAGCCTTTGTTCTGAAAAACACTTGTTCTTGATCTGACTTCTTAGACAGCAAGCAAAACTTTAGGCAAACAAAATGACATTGTTTGAAGTTGTTTACCAAGTAACTTTCTCAGGGTGCAGTGGAGAAGTACAGAAATGGCAGGCTGTACTCCTGATGTGGAGATTACTTTTCATTCAGAAGGGAGGGTCAGCCTCAGACCTTAGCTTAGCCGCTATCTCATGCCACAATTCCTAAATTAATTTGGAGAGCTCATCCTCAGGCCTCTAGAGTGGGAAAGGGCAGAGCTGGAAATCGAGCAGCAACCTAAACCATCCTGTAACCCCAGGATCACTTCAGCTTTCTGAACTTTTTCATTCATCTCTGAGTTTTACATAACTTTTTCCACTTACATAAGTTAATGCTAACTTAATTTTAAAGATCTGCTCTAAGAAGCACCGATTTCTTTAATTCTCAGATTTTACATGTTGGGTTTTTTATTTCCTGTGTGAGGCTTTGAGCGAGGATACTGTACTACTTAGGAAATATACTTACTGTATAACTGAGCTTTCTTTTTTTTCCTTTTGCTTAGTAATAGACAAACCAAAAATAAAAAAAATACTAGTTTTTTAAATATTTGAATTTTTAATTGATATGATGTGGTTTTCAATGTACTTGAGAGCAAATAGGGTTTTCGGTCTCTACTCTTCCTCTTCAGTTCTCTAAATTGATTGATTAGTTTTGAGGATAATAAAGTCACAGTTCTTTAGCTGAAGATAATAGCTGAGTATTAAGTAAAATACTTGCAAATTGTGTTTTGCTTTCCCTTTTCTCATAGTGAAATATGTGTTTTCTAAAATGGGTAACCCTGAAAGATATTATGCTGACTAAAATATCTCACAAAAGGACAAATATTTCATAATGCCCCTGTTATAAAACAAGGCTGATATTGGGTTTGGTGGGAAACTAAGAAAAGAGGGGATAAATAGTGTATATTGCATTGAAACTGATGAGGGAAAGAATTGCTTAAAAGGAATATATAATTATGCATTGTTTGTATATTATTAGAGATTATTTGTATGACAACAGTTTTACAGTTATAATAAAAGGAAGACCTTCGATGAAAAAAAAAAAGAAATATGTGTTTTCTTTTGTATTCACTGGTAGGTTATCAAGAAAATTGGGCATTATCTCAAGATGAATATAACCGTACCAGAGGATTACATCAAAGGCTTTATTCGAGCCAACAATACCTTCCTTTATCAGCTAGTTTTTGATCCCATCAAAAGGAAGCTTATTCCTCTGAATGCCTATGAAGACGGCATTGATCCTAAAACACTAAGCTATGCTGGGTGGTATCCTTTCTGAACTAGAATGGTAGAAATTTGTGTTTGTTTCTTTCATGTGTTTTATGGTGATAGCATAGGGAGATACTGAGTATAAACTGTGTTTTGTTTAGGATTTATTGTGGTTGGTTTTTTTTTTTTACAGTGGCTTTAAAATTTTATCTTTCTAGAGATATATAACCTAAATTAGTAGCTTGCAATTCAAGGCACCTTTGTAAGTTTTGTACTATAAAATAGTGGTAGTATTTATAAGGCAACATGCCATCACTGACAAAGAAATTAATGGGGGAAGATATCAAGAATGGTATGTAAAGTGCCTCTAAGTGAATTGCTGACCCACTTCTCATGCAAATGGGGTCAAGAACTAAAAATAATTTGGAAAATCAAGTGACACTTGCAGCATGTTCCTGTGTGAATGTCAAACTTTATTAACAACACATGATGCTCAAAAGAGAAATAGGATTTAAAACACAGGAAAAAATCAAATGAATCTTCTTTATTACTTCTTTTTTACAAAATATGTCCCTTCATATTCCTTTACTATGTCACAACAGTAGCTCTAATCACATCAATGTCTCCAGACAAATATAACATTGTGGTCTCAACAGTTGCTTTTGGTACATATAAATCCACCAAGAAATACCCTCCTTGCATGTGCTTTTGACTAGGTGAGGACATCGTGTAAGGAAGCTCTCGTTCATCCAGGTTTTCTAAGTTCCTTACTATGGCTCTTCTGTCCATCAAGGCTTCTACCGATACTGATATTCTGTCAGAGCAACAGCAGTCTCTGGCCGTGGGGTGGCTTTCATGATCAAAGCTAGCTCATAGCGGGGTGTGGACCCAGCAGGAGCGCTGAATGCGCAGGGAGAAGCCAGGGTTCCTGGGCGATGAAAGCCACAAACTGGATTTTACTTTCCTTCTTTGATAGTGAAATGAGTATTTTTTCTAAATTAATTAACATGCTAGTTAAAATTTAGAGCAGCTTTGGGCATATGAACTCAAGGCTCAGCTGTTGGCATGCTGGTTATTCTCAGATTGACTTGACAAACCTGCACAGAGCCGAGCTGCTCAGTGGTGCTAGTGCACTCCAGCGGTAGCTCTTGAGGGAGCCCCTCACAAGGCTGATATCTGTCATGAGGAACCTTCTTGGTACGTGAACACATGAGGGGAGAATGCATGTCCTCAGCTGCCGGCCACGCGAAGGATTGGCGAAGTTCTGTATTGCCGCCCATCACTTTCCATCTCCCTTGAAAGGCAGTACATGATGACTTTGCTTCAGAAGCAGCCAGCGTCTGCAGTGGCAAGGAACAGGCCAGCAGAGCCTGGAGTTTGGGAAATGCTGGCAGTAGTGAGATCTCCTGAAAATGTGAAGATTTTCTGTGATAGTTGAAAGTCATTTTCTGTCTTAATATAAGTGTCATTTTGTTTGCCGGTTAATACATGCGTTTTTCCTTAATCCTGATAACCCAGCTATATTGATGATTCTGTAGCTCTTCAAATAGCACTTGGAAATAAAGACATAAATACCTTTGAACAGATCGATGACTACAATCCAGACACTGCTACGGTAACTTTTTAATGACTTCTTTATTAAAAAGCACGTTTAAGATCTATCTCAGGTATGTCCCCTGCCAATTAAAATAGCTGTCCTGCATGAGCTCAATTCCCTGTCAGATATTTCACATAGAGAAATTTCTGTAGGAACCGATTGTACCCTGAATCACTTCATTCCTTCCATTTATCTAGAATTATCTTCAGTCTGGTTTTTGGCTCACCAGTTTCTCTCTTTAAAAAAAAACAAAACAAAAAAAAACAACAAAGCAACAACACAGTGGGATTTGCTGCATGATAACCTGCTAGCGTCACTTTATATAATTCCTTGGATTATTCCTCATTTACTTCCTTATTGACACCAATAGGTATCAGTTTATTTTACCCTTAGTCAAAATGAAAGGCAGACTAGATTTCAAGTTCAGGTGGGATTCGTGCTCCCAAGTGCCAACATTTTTTGGTGATTTGATGGCTATCCTGCTCCATTAGGATGTTAGTGAAATTTTTGCAGATAGTAGGCTATGATTTTGAGTAACTTAAAATCTTTAAAAGTGATTGCTTACCACTATGAAGCAGTTTGTCAGAGAAAGTTTATGAAAGTTTCATTGTGGTCCAAGGAGTAACCACCGGATTCTCTGTGTTTTCTACTAGTGATGTACCTTGTACAGGTCTCATAAAGACTACATTGAAACCTGCAAGAGCTGGGACTCAAGTGCTTTGCTTATCCAGGTCTCAAGTTCCCTGCCTTTGAGAAAGTATAGTCTTAGCACTGGTGGCCTAGGGGTAAGAGACTGCACTGTAAACCCAAAAGCACACTGTTCAAATCCACCAGCTGCTCCACAGGAGAAGAATGGGCAGTCTCTCCCACACAACACTCTGCCTCTGAAAGCCCACTGGAAGGTCAGCTGTGAGTTGGTTGTGACTTGACAGCACACAGCAACAATCACTCTCTAAGTGGAAGATACTTGGGTTTTCTTTGGCAGATTTCCACCTTACATAGGTTCCAGCTTTTGCAGGTTTCACTGTAATTTGTGTCTTGGTTGGGTGGTTGTTTTAAACTCAGCCACTTTCTAGAGATGGAGTGATTGGTTACATTTTTAAAGACATAATTTTATGCTTTTAACTTTTGGGTATAAGTTAAGGGTACAGAAATGCCTATTTCTAGGTAGTTACTAAGCTTATTAATAAATAATTATATACTGAAATAGTGTTCTGGTTTTAAAAGTACTAATTTTTTTTCTTGCCCATCTGCAATTGCAATCTCATTTCTCGCTCTGTTTTTCTTAGGAAGATTTCTTTTTTATTACTTAGAGATAACCAAAAAGGTCATTTTAGTGGAAAAGTATAGGACCAGCAAAGTAGAAAATGTTGTTAGAGAATCGATTCTTAACACAAAAGCAGTTCTTTTAAGAGTAATTAAGATATTTACTTAAAATTCATGTTATTACAAAGGCAAAGAATTGATTATCTTCCTTTCAAGTAACTGGATTTCTTTTACCATTTTAGCCTGCCCAGCCAAGAAGTCATAGTTGGAATGATAACACATGTCAGAAGTCTAATATGAATAGCATTTGGCATAGAAATTACTCCCCTGGATTTGAGGCAGATACTGATCCCAAGGCTACCCCAGTGAAGGAACGTACCAGTACTCTGGGCGTTGAACGGGTGATCAGTATTAAAAGGTTAAATCTTCCAAGGAAGTCAACCACTGTCAAAAGACCAAGAAGTGGTATGTACTCCGTGAGTATTGCTCACATCTCAGAACTCTCTGCCAAACCCAAAGTCTCTGAAGGCAATCTTCTATGCTGCTTCTAGAAATCATGACTTTGGCTCTCAATATGCAGACTGTAATCCATTTCTTAATTCCTTTTTGTACGGAGGTAAGAATTAGCACTTTTATGTTTTAGTGTCATTTATTCAAAAGATTATCCTTTTTCTATTGAATTGCCTTGGCATAGTTACCCAGAATCAACTGACCATGGTTAATGAGGGTCAGATTCTAGACTGTTATTCTATACCATTGATCTCTGCCTATGCCTTTATAAAGTACTGTAGCTGGATATTCAAGGACTGTAAGTCTGCTATGTTTTGGCTGTTCCGGGGATCTCTGTGAGTGCAGAGGTTAAAATGCTTCGCTACTAACCAGAAAGTTGATGATTCAAACCTAGCAGCTGCTCCATTCCATGGGAGAAAGACATGGCTGGCTGTCTCAGCAGAGATTACCCATGGGGCACTTCTGCTGTGTCCTAGGGTTGCCTCAAGTCACAGTCGACTCACCAGCCTGGCTTTAGTTGACTATTCTCTGTGTTCCCTGCTTTTTCATATACATACATTTTAGAATCCACTTGTAAATTTTTACCCAGAAATCCTGTGAGATTCTAGCTGGCTCTCTCAATTGACTTGGGTAGCAGTGACTTCTTAACAATAACTGAGTTTCCAGATCCTCTTACTTTCAGAGATGCTTTGTCATTTCTAGTGTACAGGTCTTAATGGTGCGTTTGGCATGTTTTCACTAAGGTTTTTATTCTACAATAAATGATAGATTATTTTGATTCCTAATTGTGCATGGTTTTGAAGAGTTTGGGTATTTTTTTTTCTTTGCTAGTGTATAAAAATATAATTCATTTTGTCTATTGACTTCTTTCCCCCCTCTTTTTTAAAAAATTTTATATTGGTTTGCTTTAAAAGTTCATACTTATTGTGTTTCACACTATTCTTCTTTAATATTGTGTTTCATACAATCATTCTCATGCATTATGTTTTATAAAATTAATCACCATTGGACCTTGCCCATTGTTACCTTGTCTATTGACTTTTGTGAACTTTTAACAAAGTGCTTCCTACCTTTTTTCAAAAATTTAGATAAATAATACATATTTGACCACTTTTTCAGCAGAACATCTCTAAGTTATTGTTTCTTCATCTGACATGGTAATTATATTGCCAGTTTCTCTATCAAGATATCCTGTACCATTTCTCATGCCAGTTTGTCTGTATTGTTATAACTTGCCAGCGGTTCTCCTTGGTTCACACACAGCAAACAACAAACCAGAAGTAGCCTTAACCTGACTTCTCTTGTGGCAGCTGCCATTGTGACTCCTAAATTTCTTTTTTCCACCCTAAATGTTCCTAATCCTCCCAGGCTGTGCTTTGAGTACAATCCTTTATTTATTTATTTTATAAAATAGACAAGATTTAGATTAAAAAATAACTGTTAACAGTAAATGTGGTTGTTGAGATGTGGTCTCCATAGAATGCAGTAAGTATTTATAATTAGAGCACTATGTCCTTCAACCATAAAACTTAACCACTGCACTTCCAGGGCCACTTAGAAATAACTGTGCCACCTGGAATTTTACAGAATTACATTGTGTGACATACCCCCCCCAGTGTCTTAATATTTCAATTAAAATGTGCTAAGATATTAACTGAATCAAAGCAAATTAGAGACAGCCCTCCTTTGAAACTGACAGTCACCAGAAGTCTTCCCGGTCTGTTGTTGAACTTGCTTAAAATCCATGTAACGGACAGTAGATATTTCTCTGCATTGTTTGTAGGGTGATATAAGTACACTGAAATGTCACTGAATTCAATACAAACTAGATGTGTGGAACTCTCCTGAGTAGCTAGGCTGACAGCTAGCCTTGCTGGGGATCCTGCAGAATACTAATTCCTTCTCAAAAGGTTCATAACTCTCTACATCATAAACAGACTTTTTGCCAGGTATCAAAATCAAATTTACACACCTGTGTTGCATGTGCTGGTGAGCTGGAACTGACTCAAAGCTGACCCTCCAGCACATTTTCATAGGCAGTAAATCACGTGGGAATATTGCCCACCCTCCTCTTGCAAAGCTTGTGATGGATTCAAACTGCGTGCCTTTGGGATCAGTGGCTTCATCTTATCTCTGTATTTGAGTAGCTCTGCCATCTCACTCCTTTAAGATTAGTGTTATGTGTGCTTGGGAATTCTTGGGAAGTGCAAATGATTGAGGAGCTTAGCTGGTAACTAAAAAGCAATTCAAGTCTATCTCACGGCTCCGTGGAAGAAAAAACTGATGATCCACTTCAAGGAAATGAGCCACTAACAACTTGTAGAGCCCAGTTCTGATGTGATGCACAGAGCCACCCTGAGGCACATTCGACAACAGCTAGTCCTGGTAGTGTGTGCTCAGATTCTAGGGTCAGTTGAATCTAAAATCATCTTTTAATGTCCTTGTCTAGCTCAGGCTTTAATGTAGTGTGTGTGTGTGTGTGTGTGTGTAGTATTTAAATTTGTTCTCTTAACATAGATTACACTGGACACATGAAAATCATGTTTATTTCAAACGTTAACACATAGATGGTTCATACAGATGCCAGCTTTATTGGCACATTTTTAAAATTTGTGCTTACATTTTTTGTAATTCTTACTTATATAAAGAGTATGTAAATTGCTTCTAAATTGTTTTTTTTACACTTGAAACTAGACCTCTACTACAATGAGTAAATATAAAAGCCATATAGTAGTGAATGTGCTGTGAAACTTTGGGTTGGATCATGTGCCATAAAATTGTACAACTCCTTACTATTCAATATTAACTAACTGGTTTAATATTTTAAAAACAATTGGTGTTTAAAATCTTCCTATTTTCTCTTGTAGGGCATACCGTTTTAAGAAATATCTTGAAACAATAAGTTATAAACAGAAGTTAGTACTAAATCTCTAACCAAAAATTAAACCACAATTTACAGTAATTTTCTTTTTATTTAGAAGAGCTCTCAGAAGATGACTTGTTGAGGCAGTATGATTTGTCATGCGTGAAGAAGACCAGGAAGGAAGACTGTGACAGTAGTAAATCGCTCAGCTCTCCTGGCATGTGTTTGACTGACCTGGTAGATGGAACTGCTAGTAAAGGAAGCTTCAGCACACCGCCTAGGACAAGAAATAAATTTGCTACATTTTTACAGAGAAGAAATGAAGAAAGTGGTGCAATTGTGGTTCCAGGGACCAGAAGCAGGTACAGTTATAGCTACAGAATATTGTCTATTATATACTATATTGATGTTTAGGACACCTTTTGGCACAGTGTTAAGGAATTGTGCAGCCAACACAAAGGTATGTGGTTCGAATCCACCAGCTGCTCCCAGGTAAAATGATGAGCATCTCCTCCCTTGCAGTTTAGTCTTGAAAACCCACTGAAGGATCAACTATGAGTCAGTTTCTACTCAACAGTACAAAACAACAACAAATACTGATTTTTTTTTTTTTTGGTTCACAAGTTTAATAGAAACTATAAAAGATTAATATTCTCAGGTCCCACTACTACTGGTACATAATACACAACAGCTGGCCTATCCAACAGTATAGCTCAGGCCATAAGAATGTTGTCCATCCCAACCTCTGCTGGAAAAGACCTATCCTATCACACACCACATCTTGGCCAAGTCTAGGACCTTGTGTTTTAAGCACGAAGGATGTACAAAAGATGTTTTTGTTCTCAATGCTGCCCACTGCAGCCTGGCACTTTGGGTCGGCCAGTGCTCACTTCTGCTTAGAGAAATACTCTTTACTCTTCTGGACGTCAGGTTTGATGGTATCACTTCCAGGCTTCCATCCAGTTGGGCACACTTCCCCATGTTTGTCCGTGAACTGGAAGGCCTGAACGAGTCTTAGAGTCTCATCCACAGAGCGACCAACAGGGAGGTCATTCACAGTGATCTAAGGATCCCTTTATCATCAATGTTGAAAAGGCCCCTGAATGAGATGCCTTCATCTGCCTTTAAGACTCCATAGTCCTGGGCAATGGTGCGCTTGGGGTCTGATACTAAAAGAATGTTCATGGGTCCTAGCCCTCCTTGTTTCTTGGGCATGTTGATCCAAGCCAGGTGACAGAAGTGAGAATCCACAGAAGCACCAATCACTTGGCAGTTGAGCTTCTTAAATTCTTCTGCCCTATCACTGAATGCAATTATTTCCGTAGGGCATACAAAGGTGAAGTCAAGAGGGTAAAAAAAGAACACAATATATTTTCCTTTGTAGTCAGACAGACTGATATCTTTGAACTGACCATCTGGCATAACAGCTGTAGCTTTGAAGTTAGGGGCAGGGTACCCAATTTTGGCAGCTCCTGAAGACATCTTGTTATCAGCAATAGTACAGGAAAAAACAAGAGTGCTGAATCAGGAAGAGAACCCAAATACTGATTTTTATTTCATTGTCTTGGATGGTTGCAAAGGGTGAAAAAGAAGAGTGTCAGAAGTCCCCACTTGAAGTGACTAATGAGATAAAGCAAAAGACAAAATTAAGTACTTTCTCAGTAGAGTCAAACTTGACCATGGACATGGCTGTGGGGGACTCTGCTTGGTGCCGATGGTTGTGATTACAGCCATAGTGTAAGCAAGCGAAAGGTAGATGACAAAGAAGCAGAAGTAGGTGAATGCCAGTTCATGGAAAGTCTGTATGCCAAGTTGGGTCTGCTCTTTAGAGATGTTGGAAAATATCTAGACCTCTTTACTCAGGGGGAGGGTTATTATTAAACTGCTATTTTAGAGGAACCTCTGTTAGAATACTATAAAGAATGGATTTGAAAGGTCCCAAACTGAATGAAGCAGAGGACCAGTGAAGCTCTTCCTAGCATCTGAGCAAGCATGAGGAAATGAGATGCTGTTGAATAAGTAGAATTTACTGCTTGCTTGCTCATTTCTCCTATTTGGGAGTAACTCATTGTAGACCCTCCAGTGGAGTTTTCTGAGGCTATAAATTACATTAGAGAAGTCTTTCTACTATGGAACAGTGGGTGGATTTGAACTGTATGCCTTTGAATCGACTATGAAACATCTTACCACTAAGCCATGAAGCAGCTCTAGTTTGTTTTGTAAGGACAATATTGGTTAGAATCTCAGTAACAATATGTTGTTTATTCACAAAATGGTACAATTAATTGATCGTTTTGATTCTCTTGTCTTCATTAGAAAATGTGTATTAACAGTTCCCTACAAAAGATAGGAAATTAAAAAAATACAAAAGATGGTCTCTTGGTGATATTTACAGATTAAAAATCCTAAAAAGTTGACTCCTCATTTGGAGAAATTTTCAAAGTTCTGTTTTTTCCATTGAAGTGAGAAAAAAGATTTCTTTTCTCCTATTCTGTTTAACTATTCTTTGAGGATAACTAATTTTAATAATGATTTCCTATTTAACCACCGTGAAAGCTTAATAAAATGCCCAAGTTCAATTTAAAATTTGTATTTATCTGATTATATAATCTGGGATATTTTTTTAACTTAAAAACTCTTCGAATAAATTCCTTAGAGTGGTACTGATCTTTATGACATTTTTACTGAAACATTGTTGAGTGATAAACAGCAATATTGAACAAGTTTTTATTGTTATTGTCTTTGTTGTTATTGTTGTGTACCATAGAGTTGGAACTGACTCATAACTGACCCTCCGGTGGTTTTCAGAGGTAGTAAATCACATGAGAAGAGATTGCCCATCCTTCTCCCACATATCAGCTGGTGGATTCGAACGGCATGCCTTTGGGTTAGCAGCACAACTCCTTACATTAAGCCACCAGAGCTCTTACATCTTTAGTAATTCAGAACTTAGTTTTTATTTGAAAAGTTTTAGCCTATATTTAAAATAGTGTGGAAGTTTATAGGAATGTAAGAGGCTAGAAGGGACCTCTGGTAGCCTAATGGGTAAGAAGTTACACTGCGAGTGTAAAGGCAGGTGTTTCAAATGCTCCAGGTCCTCCACAGGACAAAGATGGACCCTCAACTCCCATGTGATTTATAGCTTATGAAAACTCACTGGACGGTCTGGATGGCCACCTATGGGTCGGTTCCAAGTTGACAGGACTGAGTGAGTGAATAGGCCAGTAGTAGCATTCGTGTAGTGCGCTATGTGAAGGTTCTAGATGCTTGGATCCTCAGGATAAAGCTAACATGAAAAATTAACATAATTTAGTTCTTACTTGCTACAAATAATGCCCTTTCTGTTGTCTATTTCATTTTTGACTCGTAGCCACTACTGTGAAAAGTACAAAGACATAAGAAACAAAGGCTTATTTCTCATTTGGGAATTAAAAGAATTTGGGGCTAGAATGCCATACAAATGCTCAAGAATAGGTAAAATACACATGTGTATATAAATAACTGCTTTTAGATTATTGTTGTTATTGTGTCCTATCCCACAGCTAACCCTCCAGTGGGTTTTCAGAGGCAATAAATTGCATGGGAGGAGATTGTCCCTCTCCCAGCAGAGCAGCTGTTAAGATTCAAACGACATGCCTTTGTGTTGGTAGCACAATTCCTTACCAGTAAACCATCAGCACTGATTATGTTAAAATAAACATGTTTCAAATTTTGTAAATATAAAGAAATGATTTTATATAGTCTAATCTAAAAATTGATTCTGGAAAGTCTAAGTGGGTAAATGGTGGCATGATTGAAATTTAAACTTTGAAGCACAAGAGATTTCTTTTTACATGAAACCATTTTTTTACATTTTCTACTAGTTTATAAAATTCTAATTGTGAGGAAACTGAAATACTAATCCCCATTTCTGTTTCTTAGGTTTTTTTGCAGTTCTCTAGATTCTGTTGACTGTGATTCAAAGAAAGAGAGCAGCCAGCCCTTCGAGGGCAGCGCCACGTCAAATAAAGAGAACGATCTGATAGAATCCGATTGTTCCCATGGTGAGAAGCTGGATGAAGAAGCAGCACAGAATTCAAGTGATCAGATTGCAGATGATGTGACTGTGTTTGCTGCTGAAACCCCTCCTCCGGCTTTTAAGACTAGCAGATTCACAAGGACCATCTCACCACCCACTCTGGGGAAACTTCGAAGTTGTTTTAGTTGGTCCGGAAGTCTTGGACATTTTTCCAGAACTCCTAGCCCTTCTCCAAGCACAGCACTGCAGCAGTTCCATGAAGAGAGGAATTCTCCCTCTCTACCTCCTGAGAAGGAGGAGACGACTGGCGCATCTCCATCAAGGAGTGATGACGTGAGATGTGACTCTCAGCCCTTACCTGAAGCAGGGTGCTTGTCACAGCCTCACCTAGAATTATCCCCACACAGCCCCAGTGCACCAGAACCTTCTCCGCCTTCCAGTAAAGAGTCAGATTCAGAGGTAAGTCAGGTGTATTTTCAAATTCCCCTTTCAGGGAAAACAGGTTACTAATGACATAATTAAGGAGCTCTGGCGGCCTAATGGGTAAAAAGTTGTGCTGCCAACTCAAAGGTACATGATTCAAATTTACCAGCTCTCTGGAAGAAAGAAAGACACTCACTTCCTGTGCGATTTACTCTCTCTGAAAACTTGCCACTGGAGGGTCAGCGGTTAGTGATTTCCAGTTCAGTGTTACCTAACAACAACAATTACAAGGCTACACCTCTCTCTCTGATGGTTCAAATCCACCTCTGAGAGAGAAAGATGGGCCATTTCCTCCTGTGTGATTTATAGTCTCAGAAACCCGTTGGAAGTTCAGCTATAAGTCGATTCCAACTTGATGGCAGTGCATCAGGTGATGGAATTTTACCTAGATTTTGGAAGGAATTGATTGTCTTAATTTTTCACAGTAAATCCTATATTGTAGAAAGTTCTGTTTTAGTTACTGGAAGGACTTGTTTGTTTCTAATGTTTTGAAAGTTTTGTATGTTAATATATGTATATACTTCCTAAACCACTATTTCTGTTGATTTCATCTCAAGTTGTGAAACCCTTAAGGCCTGAGAATGCTAAGAGAGGAATGTAACTTATTATTACAAAAATAATATTTAAATCCTTAATATATTCTTGAGTTCAGTAACATTTAAAATCATGCAAAGAATTGGCTTCTTTTTTATAATAATATGATTTTTGTTACATGTAGCTTTGTGGTCATCATACCAATTTTTTAAAAAAAATTTATATAGATTTGCTTTTACAAAGTTCATATACATTGTGTTTCACACTGTTCATCATTCACATTGTGTTTCATACAATTATTCCTATGCATTATGTTTTATAAAATCAATCACCATTGGACTGTGCCCATCATTACCTTGTCTTTTTAGTTCCCTGTTGGATCTTACCCTTTTCCTTTATTCCCTCCCTCACCTACCAAACTATGCAACCCTGTGTTTTAGCTCTTGCCCATCCTCATTCCTCTACTCTCATCCCTTCCCTCTTTGAATCCTCATACATGTTCTACTAATTATCCTTCTATTTTTACATTAATAGTCTAACTGAGTGTTTGTTCCTATGAGACTGAGTTAGTTCACTCAACATAATGCTCTCCAGTCTCTCCCAAGTTATGTACTTTTTTTTTTAAATCATTGCTCCTGAGTGCTGCATCGTTTTCCATTGTGTGAAAGTACCACTATTTCTCAATCCATTCAGGTCTAGGTGGACATTCAGGCTTTTTCATGTTCTTACAATGGTGAATAATGTTGCTGTGAACATTGGTGTGCAAATCTTTGTTTCTGTCTCACTTCTAAAGAAAAGTGACCCCCCAAAAAATGTGTTTTATTTAAAAAAAAAAGTGACCCAACAGAGTGTGGAAATTATTGAACAGTGTCATTGATATCACATACAAGCAAGATTCTGCTGAAGATTATCCAAAGCTGACTGGAACAGCACATCAGCAGAGAACTGTCTCTGGCTGGGTTTAGAAGAGGCCATGGTACAAGGGAGATTGTAACTAATGTTAGATGGATCTTCACTGAAAGCAGGGAGTACCAGAGGAATGTCTGAGTTTGATTAATTATGCAAAGGCACTTGACTGTGTGGATCACAACAAACTGTGCTGACTCTGAGAAGAATGGGAATCCCAGAACACTTGATCGTGCTAATGTGAAACCTATACTTGGACCAAGAGGCAGTCATCAGAACAGAGCAAGGAAAGACTGCATGGTTTAAAATTGGGAAGGGTGTATGCCAGGGATGTGTCCTGTCTCCATACCTTTTCAACCTGTATGCAGAATAGATTATCTGGGAGGCTGCGCTCTATGAGGAGAAATGTAGTGTAAGGATTGGTGAAGATCTATCAACAGTCTGTGTTATGCAGATGACCCAACCCTGCTTGCTGAAACAGGAGGACCTGAAGCACTTGCTGCAGAGGGTCAAGGACTGCAGCTTTCAATATGGATTGAGGCTCAATATCAAGAAGACCAAGATTTTCATCACTGGGCCAATTGTTGGCTTCAGGATGGATGGTGAAGAGATTGAGATTGTTAACAACTTTAGTTTGCTTGGCTCCACAGTCAACACTCTTTTGGCACTAACACCCAGGAAATTAAGAGACATATTGCAATGGGAAAGTCTGCTGTTAGGGACCTCTCCAAAGTACTGAAGAGCAAAGGTGTCACTCTGGAGACTAAGTCATGCCAAATACAGGCCATGGTCTTTGCAATCACCCCTTTTACCCCAATCACTGAATCAGTTCATCTCATTGAGGGTCTTCCTCTCCTGCGCTGTTCCTCCACCCTCCCAAGCATGACATCTCTCCAAGGACTGGTCCCTCCTTGCAACACATCCAAAGTATGGCAGACGAAGCCTCAGGAGCAGTCTGGCTTCACCCTCTCCTGGACAAACTTGTTTGTTCTCCTAGCAATCTATGGAGGCTCTGTAGGATTCTGTAAACTTTTATGATGAGACCCTTGTCTAAGGTGGTATTGCCAAATGTTTGTTCCTAGTCAGTAGGTTTTCTTTTTACTCTGTTGGAAAAAAGTTTTTGATGAGCACAGAGATTTAATCTTTAGAAGGGCCCATTTATCAGTTTTATCTGCTCCAGATTTTGCATTTCTGTCTATATTTGGCAGTCTCTTTATTCCACAGACCAGGCCGTCTAAGTTTGGATTTGGTTTGTCTCTAATGATCTTTATGGTTTGGGGCAGAAATAAGGAGATGCATTGCACTGGGAAAATCTGTAATTAGGGACCTCTCCAAATTATTGAGGAGCGATGATATCAACTTGAGAACTAAGATGTGTCTTATGCAGGCCAGGAAGCTTACTGTGCATCTGAGAGCTGGATAATGAATAAGGGTGACAGAAAAAGAATTGACCCCTTTGAGCTGTGGTGTTGGAGATGAGCACTGAATATTCCATAGACAGCCAAAAGAACAAACCAGTATGTCTTAGGTTGCAGCCAGGGTGCTCTAAAGAGGCAAGAATGATGAAGCTTCACCTTACAAACTTTGGGCATGTTGCTAGGGATTCTTTTCCTTTGAGAGGGACATAATGCTGGGAAGAGTGGAGAGTTGGCAAAGGAAAGGAAGACTCAGTGGATTCACACGTTGACTGCCTCATAGGGCTCCTATGTGTTGGAAAGTGTGACTAAGGAGCAGGATAGAACAGGATTCAGATCTTTTGTTCATAGGGTTGCTGTGGGTTCATAGGGTAATTGACTTGACAGAACCTAACAACAAGCAATTGTAGTGGCAGTGGTAGTCAAGGTATTGAAAGTTAAATTGCATTGGGAAAGTCTGTTGTCAGAGACTTCTCTAGAGTAATGAAAAGCAGTAATGACAGTCTGGAGACGGAGGTGCACTGGATCTAGACCATGGTCTTTGCAGTTACTTTACATGATCTGTGCATACAAGAGCTAAACAGTGACAAAGGATGATAGACGAAGGATCAAAGCCTTTGAGCTGTCGTGCTGGAGAAGAGAGTTGAACACACCATGGATTGCCAGGAGAACAAACAGGTCTATCCTGGAGAGGGTAAAATCAAGCTGCTCCCTGGAGGCAAGGATTTTTTTTCCCCCCTCAATTATTATTTCATACTGGCTCATTTACAAAGTTCGTATACATTGTTTTTCACACTAGATCTTTCCACATTTCCTTCACCACCACCCCCATCAAATCGTGCGACCTCATGATTAATCATCATCTTCCCCCCCACCCCACCCCCGCACATCCTCACTCCACTGCTCCCACCTTCCGCCTCTCTTGGATCCTCATACACGTTCTACAATAATGGTCTTATACAGTATTTGTCCTTATGGGCCTGAGTTAGTTCACTTAGCCTAACACTCTCCAGTCCCTCCCAAGTTAAGTAGTGATTTACAAAATCATTGCTCCTGCGTGCTGCGTAGTATTCTATCATGTGAATGTACTGTAATTTCTCAATCCATTTGATTGTGGTTGGACATGTGAGCTGTTCCAAGTTCTTACAATGGTGAATAGCACTGCTGTGAACATTGGTGTACAAGTCTCCATTTGTGCCACAGTTCTCATTCTCTTGGAGTTTATTCCAAGCAGTGAAATAGCTGGGTTGGAAGCAAAGATTTTTGAAGCTCTGTCTTACATTCTTTGGGCACATGGCCAGGAGGGACCAGTCCTTGGAGAGGAACATCAGTCATGTTTGGAAGGGTGGAGGGACAGTGCAGGAGAGGAAGACCCAGGATGAGATGGATTGACTCAGTGACTGGAGAACTGGGATTAGGTCTGTCGGAGACAATGAGATTGGCTGAGGATAGGGCAGGTTTCAGAGCTATTTTACATAGGGTTGCTGAGTTGCAGGCCACTTGAAAGTACGTTACAACAATTGTAAATGTTATTGCTTTCTTGGTTTCCTTCTCTGAGTTCTCTTTGTTACTGTAGAGGAATCCTATTGACTTTTGTATTTTGATCTTGTATCCTGCCATCCTACTAACTTGGTCTACGAGCACTAACAGGTTTTGTGTTTTTGGTTTGTTTGGGTTTTTTTTTAGTCCTTGGAGTTTTCTGAGTACACTATTATATCATCTACATATAGCGACAGTTTAACCACCTCTTTGCCTATCTGGATGCCTTTTATTTCCTTGTCGTACTGCCTTAGCAAGTACTTCTAGGGCAACATTGAAAAAGAATTGGCTCTTAAGATGAAGAGCTAGTCATCTGTCTTAGTTTTTAATAAGAGGATAAGAGGAATATATTTTCATATAAGCTTATTCTGCTTTCCCCTAACAGCAACATAATAATACAAGATTGTGTGTGTGTGTGTGTGTGTGTGTGTGTGTGTGTGTGTGTTTTCTTTGTGTTACTGTTTTAGTAGAAGCATCCATATCCATTTTTTCCTTACACCTAAAGTATCATTTGTATAGAATATCTAAAGTATCAATGTGGATTGAAGCTCCACATCAAGAAGACACATAACAACAATAGAGTATCATTTATTCTGATTTACATAGAGTTGCTTTTAGTCATACTCTAGTCAATGGCACCAAACAACAACAGTATAAACTAAAAACTCCAAGTAAGTACTGGTCTTAAGATTCAGTGAAAACTCTGGTAGCCTCCACTATCTTCTTTTTCAGGCTCTCACAAGTTTTCCACCTTTTACAGCATGTAGTTTTAAAATTCTGATCACTTATTTTAGTGGAAAGTATTTTCATTTTAGGTCTTCACTTTGGTTCCAGCTTGAGCAGATTTTATGTATTTAAACATGACATGGTGAGTACTTTCAGATTTATTGCTATAACAATTAATTTGTCCTTACCAACTATAACTACCAAACTGTAAGAATAGTCACAGCTGTAATAGTACTTGACAGAATTTTAGGATCTAATAATTCATAGAGTTGTGTACATCAAAAATACTTGATTCAGGTTCTCAAAGGAAATGTGATTGAGATTCATTGAAAAAAATGTCAAGTTAAAATGTGAAAACGTGTTACACCAATGTTCACAGCAGCATTATTGATCATCACAAGAACGTAGAAACAGCCAGATGTCCGACCACATGGAATGGATTGAGAAATTTTGGTACATT